ATGGTAAACTTTCAGATTACTACTAAGTTACCAAAAAAACCACAAAAAGTTTAAAAGGTTGGGTATTGGGGAACTATAGGGCGTGTGGCCTCTTCCCGAAGTTGATGACGCCCAAGTCAAGGTTGGGGGGTGCTCCATGAGAATGCAAATTAAACCCTAAACCCCTAAACCCCTAAACCCCTAAACCCCTAAAGCCCTAAACCCCTAAACCCCTGAGCCCTAAAGCCCTAAAGCCCTAGACCCTAAACCCTACACCCTAAACCCTTAACCCCTAAACCCTTAAACCCTAAACCCTAAAGTTTCATCTTGGCATCCAGCCAAACCAAGATAGAGTATAAGTGCACCACCCAGGGACTCCAAGAGTCCTTCATTACCCAGACCACCGGGAGGATCCAAAAAGTAGATCCCTTAAGGAGGTTCCTATGAAGTACGCCGGAGTAGTATAGGGGTCCAAAATTAGGGGTTCTGCTTTCTAAACCCTAAACCCTAAACCCCTAAACCCTAAACCCTATTAGATCCTTCCGGGGGTCTGGGTAAGGAATCTACCTTGAATCGAAATATGAAGGGAGGGATCCTTAGCATGATTTAACAACTCCTTAATTCCCTAAGGGTCCATGTGCCTAAATAGTATAAACATTAGCCCCAAAATACTTATATAGGGACTACCTTAAGGCCAAAGTATATCTAGTTGGGTACATGGACCCTTAGGGATTAAGGGGTTTGGGAGTTTCTGGGTGGTGATCCACGGCAGCTCTCAATCGAGTACTAGTCTGCATATTGGGATTTGGGGTTCTTCTTTCGAGACCTCTTTGCTGCCTGTCAGCCCAGTTTAGGGTTTAGGGTTTAGGGTTTAGGGTTAGAACACCCTAATAGGCTGAGGTAGTAGACCTCAAACCAAGAGACTATCCACCACCATCACAAAAGCCACATACCCACGACCCCTAGTGAAATAAGCTCTTCTGTAACAACCCAGATCTCGTCATTCAGTCTCTTCTGTAACAACTACATATGCGGCACCTCCAGGCTCATCCACCCCAACAATCGCTCTTCTTTCGCCAGGCCTCAAAGAAGCCGTTAGGGTTTAGGGTTTAGGGTTGAAAGAACAACAACTTTTCGGCAAGCCCTGTAGTTGGCTCCACAATGATCACAGGAAGTGCCCGAAACCCTCAACCCTCAACTCTAAAGTGGTTTAGGGTTTAGGGTTTAGGGTTTCAGACATCCCTGTCTTAATGGAAAGGGAGCTGGTCTCCTACACCCTCAGGCCTTAATAATTAGAATCGGGTTCTGGGGTATGTTATACTACAACCATGAGAAGGACCCCCCCCGCAAAAAAAAAAAAAAAACATAGTATAATATAGGTAATTATTAGGGCCCCCTGCATCCTACAGGATCCCTCGTGCATCGTATTGAGGCCCCTGTTGGCTCGCAAGAAAGCGCGCTGAACCCAGAGACTCCAATACCCCTTAGTTAAGGAATATACCTTAAACTATAGTAGGGGCTCAAACTATAATTTAAGGTATATTCCTTAATCAAGGGGTATTGGAGTCTCTGGGAAGCTCCTGAAGACTCGAGCTTCAGAGCCTCGCTGGCGCAGTGAAGCTACCGAAACCCTAAACCTAAAACCTAAACCTAAACCCTAAAACCTAAACCCTAAAACCTAAACCCCAGAAGCCCTAAGACTCGAGCTTCAAAGCTTCACTGACGCTCCGGAGCTCCCGGAAGGCTCGAGCTTCCGAGCTTCGGGAGGAAAACTCCTGAGCCAACCCTGGCGCACAATCAGATGAGCGACCGTTCCGATGTAGAACCCTGATGAATAAGTCCACAAACAGGGATGAGTAATATATATATATACATATATATACATACATACATACATCTTTTATTTATATATTCATTTACTGGTCCATTTATTTGTATATATAGATGCAATAATTATTAAGGCCCTGACAGAGAGAGAGTTTGTCAAATCAACTGTTGACACTATTTATTTTGCACTATTGCTTGTGTAAGTTCCCGTGCCTCCCACAAGTGCACTTGCAAAGTTCAAAACCCCGAACCGTAAACCCTACTTGGAGGATGTATTAAGTACGGCTCTAAGTAACTAACAATGTGCTTATATGTATTCAGAATATAGATACCTGATTTATCTCCTCAGTTACTAAGTTCCATGATCCTCCAAATAAAAAAAACTTAAGCCCTGAACCCTACGGATACCTTACAGAACCCCCGAAAGATCCCTGTAAGGAGTCCTGCCAGTTACTATGTAAGTCCCATGATCCTTGAACCCTAAACCCTAAACCCTAAACCCTAAACCCTGAAGTACTGGTCCAGAAACATCCAGCCTTCAGCAGTTGCCTGCAGCCTCCCGAGTTGGGCCCATCCTGCGTGTCATGGGATTTAGGGTTTAGGGGTTTAGGGTTTAGGGGTTTAGGGTTTAGGGTTTAGGGTTTAGGGTTTAGGGTTTAGGGCTTTAGGGTTTAGGGTTTACTAGCTATAGGGTGAAAAAACTATAACTACCAACAAGCCCATTTCGGTTACTAAGTCCCATGAACCTCCTAGTATTATGGTATAATTCCCTACACTGTCCAAGAACATCCTGCTGCCTTAATCATGGAAAATAAGGCTTTGGGGCATACTATTTTAGAGTTCAAGATAGTATAAGATAGTAAAAGATGGTATAGTATAGTAAAGTACAGTACAGTACAGTGTATAGTGCAAAGTGTAAAGTATATTATATATAGAATTTAGTATATGGCATATAACAGTTTAGTATATAGTATATCGTATAAAAGTATCCAGTATCTAGTATAGTGTAGAGTAGAGCAGTAGAGTAATGTAGGTGCCTAAATTATCATTATAGCATAATGGGCCCCAGAACCCTATTCTAATTATTAAGGCCCCTATAGTATAGTAAGACAAGGGCTGCTCACACTCCTCGAGCTTGCTTCGTAGAATCGCTTTCTTGTGCCTAATGGGTTTAGGGCATCGGGTGTAGGGTGTAGGGTATAAGGTTTAGGGTTTAGGGTAATAATTACCCGAAAAATCCAGGGACCCAATAGTAAGTGCGTCCGGTTCAATGTAAGGAATTGGGTGTCATGGTTTTGGGTCAGCAATTCTTATTTGGAACTTGCACGTTTGGGTACTGTTTGGGCCTTAGTCATTAGAACAGGGTTGTAAAGTATATTATGCTAAAATTATAATAGGAACCCCTCAAATAGTATAGTTATATATTTACGCCCCTATAGTACGTGGAAAGGAACCAACATGTCTTACATTCTCAAATACGAAGATCTGTCTGGTTCCTGCAGATGTAAAGGTGTCAAAAGGACGCGGCTCTATGATGTTGAATGCTGATTAGTAAGGTCCCGGTACCACTCAATCGTAGAAAAGTACCCAAGAAGCCTGCCGCCTTTTGTCACCGCTCACATCGTTGGTTGAGCGAAGCGATCGCGACGAACGCAGAGATGGACAACGTGCCAACCCTGAACCCTGAACCCTAGACCCAGCATTGACCGGCCAAGAATAATGCAAAGCTACGGAGATCTTCCAGCTCGTCTTGAGCCTTCTTGATGCTCCTGAGAGATTAAAGAAGCTATACTACTACACTCGGCTGGACTCTGCTATACTGCGTCGTGTATGTAGTCTGCAATACTATTTAGTACTGATCATACTATAGAATAGGCAAATCTTCGATCAAAGTTATAGAAATATTAGCCTGAGGATGCACCTTTGTGTGGGTGAAACGTCTTCGAGTCTTCGCATACTGTTGTCTGCATTATGATGTACATCATGGCAGACTGCATAACAGTACAGTTTGCTACGGTTCTACAGCATAGCATTCCGGTGGCATGGTATGGTACAGTACAGGTTTGCGAAGAGCATCAGCAGGGATGTGGGAGCGCATCATAAGTGCCGTCCTGCCGTCTGATGCAACGGCACGAAGTGGATATGTGATGGTCGTGCTTGCTGCTGATAGAGAACAGCAGGTTCATCTGCAACGCCAAAAGGGCCATGATGACAATGAACACCGCTACTTGAATCGTCGAGTAGCTTTGCACAAGAGTAACAAGGCCCGCCCAGATGAAGCTTCCGCAAATGTAGCTGTAAACGTAGGACAAGGGGCAGCACAAAAACGCAACCATGAGTTGCGCAGGACCCTCGCCGTGAGAGAGCACGTGCTTCACCATGCGAAGGAGGATCGGGTAGGTCAAGGGAAATGCTGTGACGATGCATAGACTCCACCCGATGGTTTGCACAGCCATGTACTGCACCGCCGAACCTCACTTCCCCAATAAGCCAGGGAAATTAAAAGCTTAAACTTCCAGATTGCTACTAAGTTGTAAGAGCCCAAAAAGTTTAAAGGTTGGGTATTGGAGAACTAAGGAACTATAGCCTTCCAGCCGTGCAGATTCTTCGCAGGGTCCATTGTCGCAGCCCAAGATGTTCACCGAGCTGTAGAAGATCATCGGCAGGAAAGCCTTTAAGGCTCTTTATTACCTTGCTAAAATTACAACTTTTAGTACCCCTAATATCAAAACGGCTAATCCTAAAAGTGATAAAGCTATAAAGTGACTGTAAAGTTCAACCAAGAAGCCATCAGGCAAACTCGCCAGGGCACATACACTTCATGGCCGATTTGTGCTATGACGAAATCACGCAAGGTCCCTCGGATGTAGCTGTTGAAACCTGGGCTTTGAAGTAACCAGGGAGAAAAAAGTAAGGACTTTAATTTTATAATGGTTCCTTTAAGGAACAGGTCCCGCAAAAAAGTATTAAAGTATGGTACTCCAAAGCCCAGAAACGGTCCAAGCTATCAAGCCCAACTCCTGTCAGGGGATGAAACCTCTGAATGCATACTTCGCCATCATCGACAAGGCTTGGCATCTGGCCCTGACTGCGTGCAGGATGACTTTTTTGAAATAGTTCTTGCACTTGCTGCTCAATCGCCGCACGATCACGCGGCAGGGTGCACTGCGCAGCGCGGACATCGAAGTTTGCCATCTGGTCTAGCATGAGCCGGTGGCTTTGAAACTTCATGCGGAAGGAGAAGAAGCTGGGTATGGATGCGGGCAGATAGACAACACTGGACATCATCCAGATGACGAACCAACCTGCAAACTTCAGCATGGCTGGGTTATTCCCGAGGACGCTTTCGAGGATGCCCATGATTCCTTGCATCCATGCTGCGCTCCAATTTGGGAAGATGTGCTCCAGGAGGTCAAGAAGGCTGGCGCTCAGAAGATCTAGGAGGATTGAGAAAAGCAACCACGGAGCCAGCCACAAAGGCATCACGTCCACATTCTCTGCACCACGGTACTGTACAAACGTTGCGAGCTCGAGATTGCACCATAAACCTGTGTTTACGGGCGGAAAAAAGACGAAAGCAACGTTGTATTTTGCTTAAGGACGGCAAAAGTTCTGGTGTGGCTTGAGGTAAGAAGCTCTAACAAACGCTAAACCCTAACAAACCCTAAACCCTAACAAACACTGAACCCGAACAAACCCTAAACCCTAACAAACCCTAAACCCTAACAAACCCTAAACCCTAACAAACCCTAAACCCTAACAAACCCTAAACCCTAACAAACCCAAAGCTCATTGAATGCCTGTGGGAGGTCTGTGCGACATGCGCCTGAGGGTCTGGGTCAACCTTAAGGACGAAATGAACCTCAAAAGGGTCTCAGGTTCAGATACCATATAGGGATTCACAGTATAAGGGTATAGGCCCCAAACCCGAACCCTAAACCTTAAACCCTAAACCCTACTTATAAGGGTCATTTCGTCCCCAAGGAATTGGGATGCCACCAAGGAAGCGAACCCCTGCTCGAAAGATCTCTCTGTATCGCCTTTTTTGGGGTTTGGGGCTTAGGTTTTAGGGTTTAGGGTTAAGGGTTTAGGGTGTAGAGTTTAGGGTTTAGGGTTTAGGGTGTAGGGTTTAGGGTTTAGGGGCAGGCGTGCGCGTCCTTGCCGGCCCTGTCTATGCACACATGGTATACACTACCCTACAAACCCCTCCCCTTTCTATGACGTCTGAGGGTTGTAGAGGTCAGAGGCCAAAATCACTCATGAGGATGGGCTTTGTTGGGGTTTCTGGCTTTCCAGCTGAGGGCTTAAAACGGCATAGTTGGTTTCACGGCATTGGTTTTCAATGCTTGAAACGTGAGCCAGCTGGCAAAACATTACTTGCGAAGTAAGAAACGCTCAAAGTACGTGTCGTCCCATAAGATGAGCATGCGGCTGGAGTGCGCAACGAAGATGGGAAGGGCGGCTATTTGTACTGCCTTCAGCTCCAGATCTGTTTGGTGGACACATAGCTTGTCCAACCATATGGAACTTGATCCGAATCCACACACCTTAAGGACGACATGAACCTCAAAAGGGTTTCAGGTTCATGTACCATATAGGGATTCATAGTATAAGGGTATAGGCACCCTACTTATGAGGGTCATTTCGTCCCCAAGGCACTCCACCGAGCAGCTGCTGCCCAAATAGGAGGGCAAGGACAAACACAGTCATTGGCAGGTACACGAGGCACGGAAGGAGAAGGTAACTGCCGCCCAAATGCGTCAACCCGCCCCATCCCAACAGGAGTAACACAGCTACAATCCAGGTTCCGATGGAGCACCACAGTGCGATCTGCAGGTTGAAGTACAGGCAGAGAGCCAGGAACTTTTGCCAGCGCCCGGCACTCCAAGAATGTCCAACAAAAACATCCACGTGATCTGTCTCGCATGATTTTCCAAAGAGAGTTTCACCCGCAAGCTGCACCTGTTCTCTCGTCGGAAAGCGGCAGCCGGCGTTTCCGCCAGCTGCAAGAAGCGTCCTGAGACCATCGTTGAAAATCATCCCGCATCCCATGAGCAGTTGCCTGGCTGTGGTGCCACGGAAATGTCCGCAACGCCAGGTTTCCTCGAAGGAGGAATGGTCTGCTCTACGCAAGCGGCGGCGGCTGTCATATGCTGCATCTGCATCTGACATCACCTGCTTACAAGCTGATCGCATCCATGGCGCCGGATGAGGAAGTTAAAAACACACCTTTCAAAATGCTGGGCTTAAACATGGCAAGGAAAGGCCGCGAACGCCGTCAAGATCTACATGGGTAGTTGTCAAAATTATGGTCCCTTTTGGGGTACCCTAAATACTAGGTGCCGTATTAACACAGCTTTGCAACACTCTGCAACCCTCTCCCAGACTGCAGCTGCTGGGTCTAAACATCATTCATCATCGACAGGCTGTGGCTGAAGTGATATTCGGAACCCTAAACCCTATAGGGCTTAGGGCTTAGGGCTTAGGGCTTAGGGTTTAGGGTTTAGGAACCCTACACCCTACACCCTAAACCCTAACTGCATGCCTCCGCAAGTCAGCCAGGTTTCGCCGTCTCTGCAGCGGTGGGTACCATTTTTACCTGTAGCAATCGGAGGACAGGACTCCAGATCAGGGTTTAGGGTTTAGGGGTTTTAGGGTTTGGTAGGGTTGTATGACATCGTGGTATACATCTTTAAACATAGTTCTTGCAATCACAATCACAAACTCTCCGCATGCTTTCTCAAGAAGCCGCTTGAAGCGGTTGTGACTAAGACAAAAACGAAGCAAATTACCGTAATGAGCCTTAATAATTTGAAAAGGGTTTTGGGGCCCATTATACTATGATTAAATATAATGAGGAACCCCCAAAGTAGCCTAGGCAATTATTTAGGCCCCTATAGTAAACCCCAAACCTTGGGGACTAAATGACCCTTATAAGTAGGGTGCCGATACCCTTATACTATGAATCCCTATATGGTATCTGAGCCTGAAGCTCTTCTAAGGCTCATTTCGTCCTTATGGAACCCTAAACCCTAAACCCCAAACCCCGCCATTGCTATGAGGAGCTCATGGGTTCATATGGGAGTTTCCGAAAATAGGGGACCCTAATATAGTACCCTAAATAATAGGACCCTTATTATAAGGACCCCCAAGTAAGGTACCCTAATTTTTGGAAACTCCCATATCTTTGCCTGACCACCTGA